TTTCACTTAGGGATGTACTCACTTTTGTTGCCAGCGGTTTAGACATTAATGGCTGTGTGTTGAGATATTTTGAGGGGACAGCAAATTTACACTGTTATACAAGCTGTATACTCACTACTTTACATTGTAGCAAAGTGTCATTTCTTCAGGGTTGTCACATGAAAAGATATAATAAAATATTTACAAAATGTGAAGGGTGTACTCACTTCTGTGATACACTGTATCTGTGTTCAAATACTTGTGCCATACTCCCTCTCTATATATAATGGACAGAGAGAAAATTAAAAAGCTGCTGTATTAAGTGTACCATACTGGCTCTCCTAGGAATATCACAGGAAACTGTCAAATGCTTAACTGAAATCAGCATCTCCAAGATCTATTTATTTTATTACATTTTTATACTTTTCAGCAACTGAAGCTCCCTGAACCCATTCATAAAATGACTACTAAACTAGTATCTAAACTAGTAAGTACTATAAAAAGGAGATAAGGCTGGTCGGAAATGAATTTTTCTTTTGTATATTAAACCACACTGGCTCCTCTATCAATGCATTCCTTTCTAAAGGCTTACAAACTGACCAATTTATCTGATTTGCAATTACAGAGACTGCTATCAAACTAACCTGCCTACAATTTCCAAAATGCACCCCCAACACTTATTGAAGGGAGGGACAAGAATTACCATCTCTTCTAGCACCTCCAAGAACTCTCAAGTATTACAGAAAGCACTTCCAAAATATCATCCATAATCTTCTACAGTAACGTGGGATGTAATTCATCTGGCCCTGGAGAGATATAATTCATCTGGCCCTGGACAGCTAGTTTTTCCTCTAACCATTTCCTTAGCTACCTTGTGCAGGATAACCTTTCTTTTGTTATTTATTCCAATATTCCCAGGGCAAATATAATTCCCCTTGTGAGTGAAGACTAAAGCAAAGTAACAGTTCAGTAGTTTTGCCTTTCCTCCATTACTCATCACTGCAACAGCTCCCTCTGAGTCTATGGTGCTATGATTTTCAGATGAATCCATCAAATATCCCCATCAAACACCATGCAAAACTCGCCTGTTAGCTCATTATAGTTACTCACTCCTAGAGAATTACAAGGGGTTTTTTGTTTTTTACAGAAATGACCGGCTCTGATTACCCAAGCTAAGGGTTCTACCTCAGTCCTTAGACAATCTGAAATATTGGCTTTACAAGTTACAAGGGTATTTCTTCTTCAAGTATGTGGGTGACAGTTTAGTGACTGCAACGTAGAATTACTGTGATCTACTCTTTTGTTACTTACCTTGCTTTCTTCTTTGCTGCTGTGGCTAGAGGAAAATCAAGATGGGAATATTATCAGAAACATATAAAGAACAACTTAATTATGTAAAAATGTAATTCATGCAAATTTCAGGGCTACTATTTCAGTTATATACACACACAGGTCTCTACTCTTTCATCTGTTGTTTGTCATGATGTACAGACCAGGAATTCTGGTTTGTCTCTCTCCAGACATGATGGAGTCACAAGTGAAGAACCAACTACAGCTTAAGTCCACAAAGTTTCTGGTTCACATGTCATGATAAATAAGTCTTATGCAAGGTTCATAGTTAGTTCTAGCTACTTTCAGTGTGTACCAGCACATTGGTCCACTTACAAGAAACCAGGATTCTTTAGAATTTTGTCTGTGATGTGTGATTGTAGGGGGTTCTCTTTCTTAACTACTGGTAATGCTAGTTTTGTATGTGTTTAGTTAAATGCAATTTGGAAATTCAGGCTGTTTTTAAAATATATAAAAATACAAAGCTCTTACTTACAAGGTTTGTGTGGTCTTTCAAAACCTTCACGCTAAAAAATAAAGAGGTTGGATCAAATTTAATGTCATTTATTCAATTCTATTCCAGTGGGACTGGGATGGGGAATCAAACCAAATAATAAAGATGTTGTTGCTTAGGGAAAAATGGTGAAGCACCATTTTTTTGTATCCAGAACTACTTCTGAAAATCATTTCCAGCTACAATGTATAAGCTCTAAAACCACTTTAGTTCAGATAAGTTAAAGAAAGAAGCAGTGTGGTACACTGCTTAACAGTGCTGGAACAGAGGCTTGGGAGATCCAGGTTCTAGTTTCCACTCAAACCCTGAAGCTCTCTGGGTGACTTTGGGCTAGTTAGCCTGACCTAACTTACAGGGATCTTGAGAAGATAAAATGGAGAAAGGGAAGATGATTATGTTAACCCCTTTGGGCTTCTTGCAGGAAAAAGTTGAGATACACCTTTTATAAATATAAATAATATAAATAAATAGGTTATTTTGATCTGTTTGACCCTCCACCATTTCTTTTGACAGTTCTAATTTGCTATTGGGGCACCTTGGAAGCATAGCTAGTAGCTGTCAAAAGGGGGCTCAGGTAGCTATTTTACCATCAGAAAGAAAAATACTTTAAAGGGAAAACCAAGCTACAACAAGAAAACTTTGCACCCACATGTGTGATACACAAAGAACTTGGTGTTCCTGTTGTGTCCCCCTGCAATACTCATGGGAGACCTGGGAGGTGGTGGAGGGGAAGGAAAGAAAGGAATGGAACAGAACAGGGGGAGGCAGGGGGCTACTACCCACGATGTGTCTAATTGCCTTTTGGGCACATGAAGAGTGGTGTGGTTTATAAGCCAAACTGAGGTGATTTTGCAGTGCGGCTTTATTGTGTCATGTGAACCTGCTTTGTGGCCCATTTCTCTTGCTGTATATGTAGGGGAAAGGAGTTAACACAATTACTCTTGGCGGCATGATCTGTTTGCCCTGCAAACCCAGACAATCTGTTTTGTTGTCACTGATAACAAGGAGCCCAGAACCCATGGACTATTACAGAGTTCAGAGTTGCTTATTACTCATGGCAACATGAGTTTGTACTAGCTAACTAACAGGGTTGGTACAACCTGACAAAATGTGCTGCCAGAGGTAATTATGCTAATCCCTCCTGTATGCAACCAAAATGTGCACCACGATTTATTAACTACCCTTTGTCTGTGCAAACCAGAGCATTTTATAGCAGTATTACCAAATGAAATCATAAACCCACCTTATACATTTTTAAACCTTCTGTCTTCTCTATTTCTCTTGCTCTCCGTCTAAGAAATCGAACTTTGTCTTCTTTATCCTTATTTGCACCCCTTTTCGCCTTGTCTGGATGATGTTTTAACTGCCAAGGAAAGAGAAAATTTTATATGTTGATTTTTTAGCCCACTCCTATCTCTAAGGCTTGAAGCAGCTTAACAACAAAAATACAGATATCACTTACTGTTTAAGCAACCATGAGCAAACTTCAGCTTTCCCTCTCTTGCACAGCAGATCCCTACAACTTCAGAGAGGCAAACTAGTTCCTTTAGGCCACTTTAGTCCAACCCTGGAAAATCAGTTGCGTTCAACCCAAATCAGAATGTTAAGTATGTAAGAAGAATGGGAATAGGAATAATACCACCACAAAGTGTAAGACACTTTAAATGTAAATTTGCCCACCTCAGTTGTTTACTCCTTAGCAAGAACTTTCAGATAAATTATGGTGCAAATGAAGTTTTATGCAGAATTAATGGAACTGGGAAGAGTCAACAAATGTACTTTATAAATTAAAAATGCATCTAAGCTAAAGGCATAAAGCAACTTTTTGGTACACTATCCTGTAAATTGGGGATGGGCAATTTGTGACCCTCCAGATATTTTGGCCTGTAATTCCCATCACCTCTAGCAATTAAAGGTAATGATGAAGGCTGATGAGAGTTCTAGTCCAAACACCAAGCATAATCTGGACAGCGCTCTTGAGTTTTGCAGGTGATATGGCTGGTGGTCCCATCAAAGCCCTGGCTGATTTCCAAAATGTGGTATCAGTCCCAGGCAATTGACATGATTGCTCCTGAGCATATTCTCTGTACTAGAGCTTATACAGCTCACTGATATATCTCAGAGCTGAAAGTGATGAAGCAAAATAGAAGATGGCTTGAATGCAGATGGAGGAAAACTCCCAAGTACATATAATCAACCCCTGGTACATGCCTCTAAGTCAAGTGTATCTGAGGACAGAGAGCAAGAATAAAAATCTCACCACTATTTAGTCTTCTTTTTGCAACCCAACAACCTCTTTAGGCCTAAGGCCTATTATATGCTGGTACCAAGAGCATTGTAGAGCCATCTGAGGTCTCACTGCAATCTATTTGCTAGAAACTACTAGGATAAAACCGCTTCTTCAATTAGGACTTAGACTCTTATGTTAAAACAACTGAATCAGGTGAGGTACCCAGAGCACAGACTGGTCAAGTTTTCTCAGATGAGTCCTAGTTTATGCAGAGCTCAAAGATGTTGACAAGGCACTTGGACAGATTCATGTGACTACATCCATACTGGATCTTTGCCCTTCTTGACTAATAATTGTTAGCAAAGACAGAGCAGCAGGTTGGGTCAAGCAGAAAATTAAAGGGAGTGGTCCACCGTGGATGGGAAAGGAGGTGGTTAGAGGGACTAGACATAAGAGGAACCTCCATTAGGAAATGGGTACTGGGGTAAATAGACAAAAGGATATACCAGGAGGACGAGGCCCATTGCAGGAGGATCCTTCGCAAGGCTAAGGCTGATTATGAGCTGAGATTTGCAAAGAATATCAAGAGCAACAAAAAGGGCTTCTTTCAGCATGTAAATAAGAAGAGGAAGGGGAGACAAGTGGTGGGACCACAAAATAAGGAGGAAGGAGATCCAGTGACTGATATGAGGGAACAGGCACAGATGCTAAATGACTATTTTGCCTCTGTGTTCCCCCCAAAGCAGGGCAGGGGAGATCCGCATGGGAGATTAGATGAGGCCAGGGACTTAGGGGCACAGATTAGAGTCAGCCCCCTAGAAGTCAAGGGGCTCCTCAGGGCATTGGACGTTACAAAGGGGCCAGGCCCTGAATGGTTACACCAGAGAGTACTTCGAGAGTTGGCAAGGGTTCTCTCATGTCTGTTGGCCTCCATTTTTGAGGCCTCATGGAGAACAAGTGAAGTTCCAGAAGACTGGAGGGTGGCGTCAGTGGTCCCAATTTTCAAAAAGGGTAGTAGAAGGGACATGGGGAATTACAAACCAGTTTGCCTTACGTCCATTGTAGGAAAAACAATGGAAAGGCTCATAATAGAGAGAGATCTAGTGGTGCTGGATAGGGAAGGGAGGCTGGCGGCCACACAACACGTTTTCTGCAATAACAGGTCCTGCCAGACAAACCTTGTGGAATTCTATGACAAGGTTTCAAGGTGGCTAGATTGAGAGGATGCAGTGAATGTAGTTTACCTGGATTTCAGGCAAGACCTTTGAGAAAGTGCCCCATGATATCCTGGTTGAGAAACTGAAGAGTTTTGGGATAGACCAATGCACTGTCCAATGAATTAGGGCATGGGTCCTCAAACTACGGCTCGCGGGACGGATCTGCCCCGCCATGACCATTTATCCGGCCTGTGCCACCGGACACATGCGCACTCGCCACTTGGCCAGTGGTGGCTTGCTCACTCAGAGATGGCTGTGGACTCTCTGGGAGATCTCCAAGCAAGCAAGCCACCACCGTGCATGTCCGACACCATCTCGTCAGCTCACATGCCCAGGCACCCCTGCCTCACCAGCCTGCACTGGTCGCAGCCGTCTTTCAACTAGTCCCCTATTGAAAAAGTTTGAGGTCCCCTGCATTAGGGCATGGTTGACTGACTGAAAGCAGAGGGTAACCATTAGTGGGGAATCATCAGGATGGCGGCCAGTGACAAGCGGAGTCCCGCAGGGCTCTGTCCTGGGGCCAATCCTGTTTAATCTTTTCATCAATGAAATGGAAGAAGGGGTGAACAGTCTGCTGATCAAATACTGAAACTGGGGTAGTGGCCACAACTGAGAAGCAGGTGCTCCAGATGCAAAAGGATCTGGACAGACTATGGAAGTGGGCAGGAGACAACAGGATGGCGTTCAATGTGGATAAGTGCAAGGTCTTGCACTTGGGGCATAGGAATAGCTGTCATAAGTACAGATTAGGGGACAAGTGGCTGGAGAGCAGCACTTGTGAAAGGAATCTCAGGGTGCTGGTCGACTGCAGGCTAAACATGAGTCAGCACTGTGATGTGGTGGTTAAGAAGGTGAACACCACCCTTGGTTGCATAGCCAGAAGTGTGGCTTCTAGATCAAGAGACGTATTACTACCACTCTATATGACTCTGGTGCACCTGCAACGGGAGTAATGTGTTCCATTTTGAGCCCCTCATTACAGGAAGGATATAGTCAGGTTAGAGTCAGTGCAGCGTAGGGCCTCAAGGTTGGTGGCCGCTTTGCAGGGGATGCCATATGAGGCGAGACTGAGGGAACTGGGTCTCTTCAGCCTGGAGAAGAGGAGACTCAGAGGGAATATGTTGGCGACATACAGATATGTGAGGGGATGTCACACGGAGATGGGTAGAGACCTGTTCTCCCCTGCAGAGGAAGGCAGGACGCGCTCCCACGGAGCAAAGCTCAGGGAACCAAGGTTCCATTTAGATGCCAGGAAGCACTTCCTGACAGTGAGGAACCCAAGGGTATGGAATGGGCTTCCATGGGAGGTGGTTGAGGCCCCATCGGTGAGGGTGTTCAAAGATAGGCTAGGCATGCATATGGTGGGCATGTTGTGAGCAGAGCCAGCTGGAGCCAGGAATCAGACCAGATAGCCCGGGTGGCCCCTTCGGACTCGCTCTGTTTCTATGTTTCTATACATGGGGCCTCTGGGATACAAGTAGCTAAGCTCCCATGGAGTGAGTTATCAGAACAAGTGAAGAGGGAGAGCAAACAGAGGTTTGGTGGCAGAGTACAGTGGGGGAGGTCCCTAACATTCCCCCTCCTTCTCTTCTTTCTGCCCCCATTAGTTTCCCCCCACACACTTGTTTTCCTTCTTGAACATACCTCCATTACTAGTAGGACTGTCTTGTTAGCCTTTAGTTAAGACAGGAGAAAGCACCAGTTGTCACAAGAGCCCCCCATGACAGAACCACAAAGGTTGTATGAAGAATGGACCCAGAAGACTCCACAGTGGTAATGACCTGCAACAACTGTGCAATGTTTGCTTTTTTATTTGAAGGCAACATGGCCTATACATGATGGGCTGCACCTCACGAAGAACAGAATGCATGTGGTTGGCCACTACATGAAAAAGTTAATCAAGAAGGCTTTAAAGGGAAACATACAGAAGAATGAAACATGCAACACAGCATACCATCACCTGACAAAGACTTATGTATTTCAATGGAGAAAAAATCTCAAGTAGGGCCTAAAATCAGTCTCCCAAAAAAGGTAGGAAGAAAACCAGGGCACAAGAAGAATGAACTTCAGTGTCTCCACACCAATGCTTGAAATATGGGAAACAAACAACACAAACTTGTGCTCAAAGTACACAAGGGCAATTATGATCTTGAAATAACTGAAACTTGGTGGGATCATTCACATGACTGGAACTCTACAATTGATGGCTACAATCTTTGAAAAACAAAAACAAAAACAGAAAAGACAAAAAGGGAGGTGGGGCCACCCTTTACGTAAGAGACACAAAGATCTGCACAGAAATATAAGAAGAGGAACTTAGTAGGCCCATTGAAAGCATCTGACTTAATTTTAAGGGTGCAAAAAATAAGAAAAACATAGTTAATTGGTATCTATTACCAACTATCCAGTCAAAAAGAGGACTAGGACACAACCTTCGAAAAGCAGCTTCCAAGAATGATGTAGTCATAATGGGGGACATATCAATTTCCCTGATATGCTGGGAGACAAATTCTGCCAAGCATGGCCCCTTCCAAGAGATTCCTAACATGCATTGCTGACAACTTCCCCCAGGAGAAGGTTGAGCAGTGGTCCTCAAACTTTTTCAATAGGGGGCCAGTTGAAAAGGCTGCAGTGACCATTGCAGGCTGGTGAGGTGCCATCGGGCATGCAAGAGGTCGCAGCTCACTTGCTCAGAGATCTCCCAGAGAGTCCAAAACCATATCCAAGCAAGCCACCACCTCCCAGTCTGCGCTGCGAGCAAGTGCGTGCGGCGAACAGTGGTGCGGGCTGGATCCGCCCTGCGGGCCATAGTTGGAGGACCCATGAGGTAGAGGAAGGAACGAAAGGAACAGCTATCCATGATTTAATACTAACAGGGATGACCTAGTGGACAAAATAGTGTAAAAGACAACAGAGGAAGCCCACATGGCTTCACAAAAAGTTAAGCAACAACCTGAAAGAAAAGAACATGTACAGCAGGTGGAAGCAAGACCAGACCACAAAGGAAGAATATAAACAAATAGCAAGGAATTGCAAGGACAGCATCAGGAATGCTAAAGCAGAAAATGAACTGAAAATAGCAAGGAATGCTAAGAATAAAAAGAACCCTTCTTCAGATACATCCAAAACAAAAGACAAAGAGAAGGGTGTCCAGCTACTTAAAGTGGATAGCGGAGTGATAACAGATGACAAGGAAGAGATGCTCAATTCCTACTTTGCTTCAGTGTTTTACCACAATAAAATATATAACCAAGAGGAAGTACAAGCTGAAAATGAGAGATAGCGGTTCAAGATTGACAGACAAATGGTTAAGGAATACCAGGATGGAATAAATATGTTCAAATCTCTAGGGCCTGATAACTCCATCCCAGAGTCATAAAATAGCTAGTGAAGGAATTCTCAGAACCACTGGCTATTATCTCAGTAATAAACCCAAGTTGCAACAACCCAGATTTGGGCTAAATTTCAGGAAAAAAAATCTTCACTGTCAGAGCAGGAACCAGTTGTCAAGCGAGGCCATGGGTTCTTCCACACTACAGACATTTCAGAAGAAACTAGACAGTCATCTGAAGGGAATGATGTAAACTGGTGACCTGTACCAGCAGGTTGGACCCAATGGCCTTCCTGGCCCCTTCCAACTCTACTGTTCTATGATTCTATTATTCCTTTACATGTTCAGCAGATAAGGCTGTGGTGTCTGCCTTTAACAGTGGACAGGATGAGGGCTAAAGAACTGAAGTTCATGTTTAAGCAGCTGGTTGATAGCTTGGGGGTGCTCCTTAAACCAACTTTGTCACTTGAGGCTCAGGTAGCCTCAGTCGCACAGCATATCTTCTACCAGCTTCAGCTGGTGGCCCAGCTCTGCCTCTATGCTGACAGGGATAGTCTAGTAATCAACACTCCAATAAGCTCTAAATTAAATAACTGCAATGAACTCTTTCTGAATCTGCTCATGAAGAACGTTCAGCAGCTGCAGTTTATGCAAAATGTGGCAACCAAACTATTAACTGGAACTAGAAGGTCTGAATATATAACAGCAATTCTGGCCCACTTGCTTTGCGTGTCTATATGCTTCTGAGTCCAATTCAAGGTCCTGGTTCTAACTTATCAAGCCCTATCCAGCTTGGTACCATGACACCTGATGGAAAGCAATCTACCTGGATGCTACAAGCAAAATCTGGGACTTGCCTCCAACTGTCACCTCTAAAGAGAGATTCAGTTGGTGGCTCCAAGAAGAGCTTTCTCAATGGTGGTCCCCAATTATAGACCAAGCTCCCTAACTAGAGACATGCTGATACCAACTCTACTATCTTTTGGTGCCAGGTTAAGACTGCCCTTAGGACACTTAAATCATATACAGGGGATTATATCAGCTGTCTAACAAGTCATATTAAGTAGCATGTGTTAGCTACTTTAGCTTTCTAAATTGGTTTTTAAATTCTGTAGTATAATTTGAGTATAAAAATGACATACAAGTAAAAATACAATCAAAATTATATGTATCTGTATTTTATATTGTACATCTATTATATTTTACATACATCAGGACCCCCATATCCACTGGCTCAGTTACTGCATTTTCTGTTAACTGCAGTTGACTTCAGCCAGAAAGAGAAGTTGTAATGTGCCATAAAATGCCAAAGGAAGTTGTGAAGTGCTTCCTACAAGTGAAGATGTTTGATTGAATATGGAAAGAAAAAAATGTATGCTGAGGTAAGAATGAAATTATGAAAAAATAAATGTATATAGTATATAACAGCAATTCCCAAACTTTTTTGATCATGGAACCTTTCTGAAGACATTTTCCCTGCCTGAAAGCCTAACTCTATCCCTGATTTTTACTAAGCATAATGAACCTTCAATGTTCTTCCTCCTTGTATCTACTTCTATTGCCTGAGTGCTTTGCATAACATAGTGGGTTTGGAAATAAAGAGAACACATTTTAAATATAACAAATGAATAATGTGATTATACAGTAATATGACAAATGAATTCCTTTGATTATCCTCAACACTATGCAATAGAGTCCTAGGAACCAAGTGACATGATGCATTCTCTTATTTGTTACTTGGCCACCAACTGACAATCAAATAGTTGGCCTCATGTGGTTTCATTTAAAAATCTGTTCTAAATTTGATTTTTGGGGTTTTTTTAAGGAACCCTTACGAGGCTTTTGCGGAACCATAGGGTTCCACGGAACACAGTTAGGGAACCGTTGCTGTATAGTGTTTATTATTATCCGCAGTCTCAGGAACCTGCTTGGGGGCCTGGAATTGATCCATGCAGATATGGAGGTCCTTCTGAACTTCTGTCAACGATGAAAAGAGATTCAATTACTGGGCAGTACAGAAATAATGATTATTTTATTGGGAGATACAGGTTTAAACTTGCAGAGGAGTAAGGTGTAGTTCATGGCTTACTAGAATTTCTAACAGAAGGTGAGTAGGAGGAATGCTCAAGAGACCTTACAGGGCATCACACTTCTAAGCACACCCCTTCTGTATAAATACAGAAGGATATATTTATTTTGCATGTTCTAAGAAGAAAAATATTGGAATGTTGCACAATGCCATTATTTTTCTTTCTTCCCCGCCCCCCCCCAAAAAAAACCAAAGCAGATACAGTACAAATAGGAACGTTTAAAACAATAGCGAGCTGTTAACACTTTGCACACATAAACTTTAACTTTGGGGTTTTTTTGTGCTATATTGAATAACTTTTTTTCTGATGGAGATAACTTACAAGATACGTTTTTCTGTGCCTTTGACCAGTGAGATGTTCTATCATTGGTGCCATTTCTGTATTAAACTGGCACAAGTGGCATTCATAGAATGGTTCTTTTCTCCCTTTAAATCGAACCTCTGTCACATATTCCAAACCTGTTAAGTACAGAAATAGTAGTGAGACAGAAGTTTCCTTGTCTAAGCAAACAGTGCAATTATTTTCATATAAGCGGCTTAATTTGCTAATGCCATAAGACAACACAGAACTAAAGGACTTTGCTATTTTTATTTTAGTTTCTCATTACCCACCAGAGAAAGAAGGGGAGAGGGGAGGGGGAGGTATGCTACATAAATTAAGAGTCCATTCCTCAAGCAGTTCTTTAGATGCAAGTACACGATAAGCCTAACCTAACCATAGAAGAACTTTTTGACTTGTGTCTCCAGTGACTCAAAGGCTAATTATCGCTGAGGTGGTACAATTTAAGACTGTAGGTAAAAATGAATGTTCTTGAATGTTCCCCCTTACAAAACATCCCTTCATATAGAAGGTTTAAACCCTTTGGCATGTTAGTTCGTATTGCATGGTAATATATATTAATATGGAGGAATACCCACTCTAGATCTCAAAAGCTACAGCCTAAACATGTAAAGCTTCTATAAATTTTGAAGCCCACATAAGGAAACCTTGTTTTAAAAAACTGAAATGCATGCAACATTTTTTTCTCTGTTCTCAACTGACATTACTAATAATACAAAATGCAGTGTCTCTCTTAGAACATAAAATTACACTGATTTGTTACAGTGCAAAATATAAAACACCCTAATTTCATTCAAATAATATTTTAAAATATACCCAGTAACAGTTTTTGGAGTAGCTGGTGTGTTAAGGCTGTTGCAGCAAACAGTCCTGTATCTTCAAAGACCAACAAATGTTATGTCATAAGCTTTCCTGGACCAGAGTTCAACTGATGTGATACAGCAGACCCAGTGTTAATCACTGAGCAGCAACAAAAGATATCAAACATATTCTGGTTTTTAGTTCAAAATAGAAAGTAGTAACATTAGCAGTAGAGGAACTGATGAAGCTTGAACAGGAGCTACAGGAAGATCCATCCAAAAACGATCTTAAGACACAAATGAATATTCTAAAACATAAACTGAACCTCTTGGATACAAATGAATGTACCAAGCAAATGAAATTGACTAAACAGAATTTTTTCAAAAATGCTAATAAACCAGGGAGATGGTTAGCTTATAAAGTAAAGGAGGAAAGAGAGAAGAGACTAATATATAAACTGAAGGATGGAGAAGGACAACTGCAAGTACAAAGTACACAAATTGAGAAAATAGTGAAAGATTTCTTTGCAAAGCTGTACCAGAAAGTGTTTAGTCATGCCGGCCACATGGCCATGGAGATTGTCTGTGGACAAATGCTGGCTCCCTCAGCTAGGAAACGGAGATGAGCACCGCCCCCTAGAGTCAGGCATGACTGGACGTAACATCAAGGGGAAACCTTTACCTTTACCAGAATAAAGAGACCTCAGTTGAGAAAATTAATGAGTATATCCGAAAGGGAAATCTACCAAAGCTACCAGAGAAATACCAAAAGGCACTAAATGAAGAAGTAACAATGACAGAAGTAATTGAGGCAATCAAGACAAAAGAATGACAAAACCCCAGGCCCGGATGGGCTACCAGCAGAGTTCTATAAAACTTTTGAAGGAATCCTGTCTGTGCCTCATAAGGATATATGTAACACAGCATTGCTAGATGCTAAAATACCAAATACTTGGACAGAGGCAAATATTACATTAATACCAAAAGAAGATACGGACTTGACACAGATCCAGAACTACAGACCTATATCACTAATAAATGTAGATTACAAAATTTTGCCCCTGGCAGAAAGACTTTTTACCTAAAAGACAAATGAGGAATAATATGAGAATTATCTTGGACATTTTAGAGTATTATGAGGTACATTCTGAAAAATCAATGGCGTTATTATTCACGGACGCACAGAAGGCCTTTGACAATGCCAACTGGCAATTTATGAAGCAACAACTAGTTCAAATGGAGTTTGGTGAAAAGTTCATTAATGCAATATTAAGCATCTATCAAAAGCAGTCTGCTATCAATATTATGAATGGAGAATTTACAAATATTATAGATATACACAAGGGTACAAGACAAGGATGCCCGCTATCACCACTGTTGTTTATATTGATCCTAGAAGTGTTAAACAGAAATATCAGGGACGATACGGACATTAAAGGTACTAGAGTTAGAGATGAAAGCTATAAATTGCAAGCATTCGCAGATGACCTAGTTTTCATAACTGAGGAACCTTTAGTAACAATGCCTAAACTCCTACAAAGGATTGAAGAGTATGGCGAGGTTACTGGGATGAAAATAAACAGAGAAAAGACAAAATTGTTAGTAAAAAATCTCACACAGGAGCAGAGAAAATCTCTGGTGGAACAAGTACTTTCAGATTGTTAAAAAGGTTAAATATTTGGGAATTTATCTTACAGCTAAGTTTACCACTCTGAAAGAAGACAATTATGATAAACTATTTAAGGAAATTAAGAGTGACTTGGAAAAATGGGCTAATTTGCAATTAACCTTGCTGGGAAGAATAGCACTAGTTAAAATGAATATATTACCAAAGCTTTTGTTTTTATTCCAAATGATTCCCATAAAAATTGATAAAAAATTCTTTGATGATTTAAATACCCAAATCTCGAGATTTATATGGAGAAAGAAGAAACCAAGGAGGCTAAAGGGAATGGGGGTTTTGGTCTTCCCGACTGGATTTTGTATTATCAAGCTTCTGTTTTAACATGGCTAAAAGAATGGATAACTTTAAGAAATAAGAGAATCTTGTATCTCGAAAGGCATGATTTGCAAAGGGGTTGGCATGCTTATATGTGGTATGGAAAGGCTAAGTCGCATGGTTCTTTTTTAAGTCATTATATTAGGAAATCATTAATGTTGGTGTGGGAAAAGTTAGATAAAACTGTATACTAAATTACCAAGATGGCTTTCACTTATGGAAGCTCTTGTATATCCAAATGCATTGAATTTTGATACGATTGAGAGATCTGATGATATTTTGGATGATGATGGAGGACTGAAATTGAATCAAAAAATACAAGAACAAGGAATTAATATTTCTTGGTGGCACAAGGTTCAAATGCAAATCGAGATATGCTAAAGACTATAGAATGTGGGGCTTTTATAAGGAGTTAACACATTTGACCACGTGATTCTGAAATCAGATGAAAAATAGATTAAAAGATTGTATAATTTCTTACTGGATAGGAGAATGGAAGATGAACAGGTTAAGGAAACTATGATAATGTGGACACAAAATTTTGGATATAATACTGAGTTAGAGAAATGGCAAACGCTGTGGGAAAGAAATATTAAAGTAACACTAGCAACCTCATACAAAGAAAACCTGTATAAAATGTTTTATAGATGGCGTTTGTTGCCAAATAGGTTAGCTGTTTCCAAATATGTCAAATGGATGTTGGAAATGTAAACACAAATCAGGTACTTTTTATCATATGTGGTGGACCTGTGATAAGGCAAAAAAGTACTGGATTAAAATACACAAATGGCTTGAGGAAATGTTACAAAAACCTCTAACATTTAAACCTGAAGTTTTCTTATGAGATATTGTACCTGATGATGTTGGTATACAAGCAATGTATTTGACTCTACATGTAACTACTGTGGCGAGGATTGCATTTGCCCAGCATTGGAAGAGTGAAGAGCCACCTACTGATGAAATGATTCTAAAAAAGATCTTGGACAGTGCAGAAATGGACAGATTGACTTTGTCTCTGAAGGAGAAAGAAGATACAGACTTCTATCAAACTTGGGACTCTTTTTATCATTGGCTAGAGAAACCAGACTATGCACAGATTTAAATATGTTTATAGTTTAACATAAAAAGAAAAAATGTGGGGGGCTGACCCAGTAGGTCTGATGTTTTTGATGATTTATTTTTTTTAGTTTTTTTCTTGTTATGTTTATTAAGAATAAAACTTTTTTTTAAAGAAGTAGTAACATTAGCATTGCATCTGATGAAGCGAGCTGGTTCCTTGACAGTCCAGGCCATAAGTAGGTAACCTGGTCCCATCTGGATGTTTTGGACTACATCTCCTGTCAGCATAAAACAGAGTGATACATACCTGATACTTATGGATGTTATACTCCAGGTGATTGCTCACTCCTGATTTATCCTATCGTACATTTATTAATGCTTCAGATGACACAAGAGTTTTAGGGTACCACAGCTACTCAAAAGGATAGTTAGAAATAAAATTAATTAAAAAATTAATTCCAAGATGTGACAATGCAGCAGTGTTGCCTCTCTGAAATTTTTTTTTATTTATTAAAACATTTCTATGCCACCCCTTGCCGAGGCCTCGGGGCGGCTTACAACATCATACACCAGCTTTTCTGAAATGTAGTAATACTTCTTGAGAAAAGGTTCCATAATATGACACCCACAAGCACCATAACAGCTGCAAAAACCTGCTACTGTGTCTGTGAGGCTTGCTGCTATTGCTGTGCCTATGCCTTACTCACTATCCATGCTCAACCTGGCAATGCTTCTTATGGGACCCTATCAGTTCCCATTTGCATCAGGCAATTATCATTTAGATTGCAAGCTGCACTGTCTTATGTCAAGCTTAGGAATGGATTTGAGGGGATCTCAGATGGAAACCACCAGCTGCAGATGAGCATCAAGTGACTTCCATACAAAAGCACTACCACAGGCCCCAAGGAAAAGAATAAGAGGGAGAAAAAGCTTAGGTGAATGAGGAGCAGAACAGAGTGACTGGGATTGCAGATAGGCAGACAAATATATTTGCACACACAGAGAGAGAACACTAGAGGAAGAAGCCGGCAACTGCAAAGAGTGCCTGTCATCTGTATTCCTCAGAATGCCTCGGCCCCATGTGGACTGAGAGACATACAGTGATGCCTCATAGTTTGAGCAACTCTAACTTCAACGTTTGAATGTTAGATTTGAAATAAAATCTCTTTGAAGTTCAAACAATGCTTCTAGCAGGCAGTGAAAAAAAATGTGGCTGCTGCATAAACGTCATCACTTGTGCACCCAAATCATCTCGTCACAT